GTTCACCAAGGCATCCCTTAACAAAGTATAGGGGAGAAACTCCTCCATTTTTCACCAGGGGACATCTTCACCCCCACTGCCATGTTATAAGCTCTCCAAGGGAAAAAAAAAAAAAAACTCAGTACCAGGTTCAGGTGCCAAGCGGAGCAGTGGATCACTGCTGAACCCTGCTGGTCTGGTTACTAAGCTAATTTTCTCTTGAATTCCAGTCTTCCCTTTTACTCTGTACTCAGATGCTGGGGCTGGGACTTGGCAAACCACATTCTTGCTTTACTCTCTGATAGGCTCTGCCAATAGAGGTGCTAGAGAGAGTACATTCTCCTTGTTTGTTCTGTGTTTGCATCCTATTTCTATTAACATCTTGTTCTTTTTGCCACCCCCAGCGATGCTTCTTTATCACAGCAGAAAATTTCTTCTAGAACCATTTGGATTCAGTTTGCAATTTCTCTAACACTCACAAAATCAACTTCATGGTGTCCCCTCAGACACACCAGCACCAACCAAACAGCATCCCCTCCTCAGAGATCAGGGTCCCAGCCTCACAGGGACTCTCCTCCCAGCTCAGAGACACCAACTAAGTAGTGCCTCATCCAACCTCAGAAGTACAAAATTCAGCTCATAGGGCCCTTCTCCAAGCATCTAACTTTTAGAAAGCCCAATATCTTCCCATTGCTCCATTAATGTTAGGGGTGATAACTACATCCTGCAGATGCTACTTCCATGATGTTGTTATGCTATTAGGTGCCAGAGTAGTCTCTGACTTATAGAGACCCCACACACAGCAGAATGAAACACTGCCTGGTCCAATGCCAGCTCCACTATCCTTGCTATACTTGAGCCCATCCTTGCAGCCACCGTGTCAATCCATCTCGTTGAGGGCCTTCCCCTCTTTTGTTGACCATCCAAGCATGGTTGACCTTACCAAACATGATATCTTCTCCAGGGAATGGTTCCTTCTTACAACATGACCAAAGTAGATGAGACAAAGTCTGGCCGTATCACTTCCAAGGAGCATTCCAGCTGCACTCCTTCCAGGACAGATTTGTTAGTTCTTATAGCAGTCCATGGTACTTTCAGCATTTTTCACCAGCACCACAACTCAAAAGCATCGATTCTTCTTTGGTCTTCCTTATTCATCATCCAGCTCTCACATGCATATGAAGTGACTGAAAATACTATTCCTTGTGTCAGGCACACCTTAGTGCTCCAGAAGACATCTTAGCTCTTTAGCACTTGAAAGAGGTCTTTTGCAGCTGATTTGCCCAGAGCTATACCTTGTCTGATGTCTTGATTGCTGCTTCCACTGGTGTTGATCATAGAACCAAGTAATGTGAAGTCTTTGACAACAATCTTTTCTCCATTTATCATGATGCTGCTTATAGGTCCACTTATGAGAATTTTTGTTTTATTTATATTGAGGTGTAATCCATACTCCAGTCTGTAGTTTTCAGTCTTCATCAGTAAGTGCTTCAAGTGATCCTCACTTTCTGCAAGCAAAGTTGTGTCATCAGCGTATTGCAGGTTGTTAATTATTCTTCCTCCAATCCTGATGCCATGTTTTTCTTCATATAGTTCAGTTTCTTGGATTATTTGCTCAGCATACAAATTGAATAAGTATGGTGAAAGGATATAACCCAGACGCACTCCCTTCTTGATTTTGAACCATGCAGTGTTCCCTTGTTCTGTTTGAATGACAGCCTCCTGGTCTATGTACAGGTTCCTCATGAGTACAATCAAGTGTTCTGGAATTCCCATTCTTCTCAATGTTACCCATAATTTGTTATGATCCACACAATGAATGTTTTTGCATAGTCAATAAAACACAAGTAAACATCTGGTATTCTTTGCTTTAAGCCAAGATCCATCTGACATCAACAATGATATCCCTCATTCCACAACCTCTTCTGAATCCAGCTTGCATTTCCAGAAGTTCTCTGTCAATATACTGCTACAACCATTTTATCTTCAGTAAGATTTTACTTGCATGTGATATTAATGATATTTGTTCAATAATTTCCACAATCTATGGGATCACCTTTTTTTGGAATGGGTACAAAAATAGATCTCTTCCTGTCAGTTGGCCTAGTAACTGTCTTCCAAATCTCCTGGCATAGCCAAATGAGTGCCTCCTGCACTGCATCTGTTTGTTGAAACATCTCAATAGGTATTCCATCAATTCTTGGAGCCTTACTTTTTGCCATTTCTTTTAGTGTAGCTTTGACTTCTTCTTCAGTACCATTGATTCTTGATCATATGCCACCTTCTGAAATGGATGAACATCGACCAGGTCTTTTTGGTACAGTGTCTCTGTGTATTCCTTCCATCTTCTTTTAATGTTTCTGGCATCATTCAATATTTTGCCTGTAGAATCTTTCAGTATTGCAACTTGAGGCTTAAATTATTTCTTCAGTTCTTTCAGCTTGAGAAATGTCAATTGTGTTCTTCCCTTTTGGTTTTCTAATTCCAGGTCTTTGCACATTTTATTTAATAATTGACTTTGTCTTTCAAGCTGCTCTTTGAAATCTTCTGTTCAACTCTGTTATTTGGTCCTTTATTCCATTTGCTTTAGCTACTTGTTCTGGTTACCTAAGACCACTCTGACAAAGATATACCTCAAATGGGATGGCCTTAACAAACAGGAGTATATTCTCTTACAGTTCGGGGGACTAGAAGTCTGAGTTCAAAGTGCCAGGCTCTAAGGTCTGTGTGAAAGCCCCTCAGCCTTGGGCTTCAGCTCTGCCTCCTGCTCCCGGCCCACTGAAGCTAGAGGCATCTCTTCACTCAGGCAGTACTGGCTACTGAGACTGACAAGCCCAAGGTTGACAAATAAAATGGCACAGTCCCAATGTTACCAAACCACACAACAGGCCATTAATTCAAGTCCATGGAAAGTCCCAAGGTCAGCAGAGCATGGCAGGCTGCTGAAAAACGACACAGCTATATGCAGGGTTCAAGTGTGCCATAAGCTAGAGATTATTCCCAAAGCTGCTTCTTATATATGGCAAGCAGACCACATACTCAAAGCAGCTACTCAGCTGCTTGTGGTAGATCCCACCATGAAGTTGATTGCCAGTCTCATCATAGGGAATAATTACCACCAGCTGCCCAGCCACTCAGCCAGGCCGAACCAAGATGACATACAACTTTAACTACCACACTACTCTCAATTCAAGAGCAAGTTTCAGAGTCTTCTCTGACATCCATTTTGGTCTTTTCTTCCTTTCCTGTCTTTTTAATGACGTTTTGCTTTCTTCATGGATGATGTTCTTGATTGATGTCATCCCACAATTCCTCTGATTTCCAGCCAATGGTGTTCAATGCATCAAATATATTTTTCAGATGGTCTCTAAATTCAGGAGGGATCTATTCATGGCCATATTTTGGCTCTCATGGACTTCTTTCACTGTCCTCAACTTCAACTTCAACTTGCATATTAGCAGTTGATAGTCAGTTCCACAATCACCTCCTGGCCTTGTTTTGGCTGAAGATATTGAGCTTTTCCATTGCCTCTTGTCATAGATGTAGTCAATCTGATTCCTGTGTATTCCATCTGGCAAAGTCTTCATGTATAGCTGCCATTTGTGTTGTTGTAAAAAGGTATTTGCAATGAGTAAGTCATTGGTCTTGCAAAATTTTATCATGTGATCTCTGGCATTATTTCTATCACCAAAGCCAAATTTTCCAACTACAGGTGATTCTTCTTTGTCTCCAACTTTTGCATTCCAATAACCAGTGATAGTTAACACATCTTGATTGCACATTCAGTCAATTTCAGACTGCAGAAGTTGATAAAAATCTTCAGTTTCCTCATCTTTGGCTTTGGTGGTTGGTGTGTAAATTTGAATAATAGTAGTATTAACTGGTCTTCCTTGTAGCCATGTGGATACTGTCCTATCACTGACAGCACTGTACTTCAGGACAGATCTTGAGACATGCTTTGTGATGATGAACGTCACACCATTTTTCTTCAATTTGTCATTCCCAGCGTAGTAGATCATATGGTTGTCTGATTCAAAATGGCCAAAACCAGTCCATTTCGGCTCACTAATGCCTAGGATATCAATCTTATGCATCTCACTTCATTTCTGACCACTTCCAATTTCCCTAGATTCATACTTCATACATTCCATGTTCCAATTATTAATGTATGTCTGCAGCTGTTTCTCCTCACTTTGAGTTGTGCCACATCAGCAACTGGAAGTCCCAAAAGCTTTACTTTATCCATATCATTAAGGTCCATTCTACTCTGATGATGCAGCTCTTTCCCAGTTGTATTTTGAGTGCCTTCTGACCTAAGGAGCTAATCTTCCAGCACTGTATTGGACAATGTTCTCGGGCTATTCATAAAGTTATCAAATAATGTACCTACTATTCATAAGGTTTTCCCTGGCCAATTCTTTGAGAAGTGAATGGCCTCTTCCTTCTTCCAAGTCTGTCTCAGTCTGGAAGCTCCACTGAAACCTGTGCACCATGTGCAACCCTGCTGGCATTTGAAACACTGGTGGCACAGCCTCTAGCCTCACAGCAACATGCAAGCCACCTCAGTAGGATGAACTGACAGACAAGTTCATCTCCCTTAGCTGTTCCAAACCTCTCTGCCCTCCCCTTACCTGGATCTGGCTGCCATCAGCCTATGATACCTTAATGTTTCCTTTCTGACTTTTCAGTAACCTGATTAATAATTCTTTATATTATCTCTGTTAAATGATTGGTGTGATTTCTGTCTCCTACCTGGGCCTTGACTAATTCATCCAGTCAGATCCCAAACATCTCTGAAGCCAACTGAAGCCTGAGACAGTCCACTCCCACCAGATTGCAAATGCTAGAGGAAACCCACACTTGAGAGTGACCCACACTCTCAAGACCCACATTCTGATCTAGTTTATCTCAGCCACGTTGTGCATGATCACGGCCAAATTCTAATTTAAAGGACAGAATGAAATTTGTGGCAAATTGAGCTTTGTTGTTCAATCTTGTGGGATGACTACAGAAATGTTTTGCTAAACATTGGAATGTTTCTCTTTGCTTGCCAATAGTGAGTTGTATGGAAGCATCCTCATCATGGGCTTTCGGGAGAAGATGATCTTGTTAAAATTTGTGGTGGGACTTTCTTTGGAATCTGTAATGTGTGTTGGTTCTGGGAGAACAGAGGGAGCCATGGCCATTACAGAGTAAGTGCCCAAAACTGATAGTGTGGTATCTGACAGCTTGTCCTTGAACATGGCCTCACTAGAGGGCTTGGAGGACTTCCAACGTTTCACTTGAATGACACTGAGAGGCTTGCTGTGCTTTGATGCCTGCTGGCTTTCCTCTAGGGCTTGTATGCATTCCAGTTCTCGAGCTCTGCTTTTCTCAATGAGTCTTTTCACCACTGGGGAGGTATATGTGACATAGGCTGGCCAAGGGTTATGTTTTTCAAGCAGATTCAGGGGAAGGCCGATGTTTTCAGTGAGCTCTACCAACAAAAAGAAAGAAAGGAAGGTTAAAAGCACTCACATACAGTAATTCAACTCTTCAGAGCCTTGGTATTGGGACCCTGATTCTTTGAAATCCTCCCCATCATACATAATAACCCTTTCAACCCCTGTATTTGGTAGAAATAAAATACAGACCAAAGTTGACCAAACACAGACCAAACTCTGTATCTCAAATATACAGAGTGACACTCTGAAGAATATAACAATGAGAGAACAATATAATGGTAAAGACTAGGGACCTTGGAGTCTAGCATAGCAGTCTTGGTTTCAAAACTTTGTGTGATCTCAGACAAATATTTAACCTTGGAATTTCCACATCTTCAGCAATAACATTATTGTGAAAATGAAATGAAGTAATAAAGATTTTATATATAGCTTATATTGTATGTATGTGTGTGTATATTGTATATATATATATATGTATATATATATATATATATATGTATATACACACACACATACAGTATAGCTTAGGGTATAGCACTGGCTCTGAAGTCAGGCTCTCTGCTCAAATTCCTACTCTACCCACTTACTAATTGTAGGCCATAAATAATTTTCTGAATCTTTCTAAAATGGTGATTAAAATAAGAGTAACTTCCTAGTTTTAATCCATGAGGATTAAAACCAAAAAACAAATCAGTTGTTGTCAAGTTGATTCTGATTCATGGCAACCCCATGTGTTACTGAGTAGAATTGTACTTCATAGGGTTTTCTTGTGTGTGTGTTTTGGGGTGGGTGGACCTGGAGCCTTCTGGAAAGAATTGGAAAACCTGTCAAACAAAAAGAGCTGTAACACTCTTCATTGGATTTTCAATGGCTTATTTTACAGAAATAGATAACAGGTCTGTCTTTAAGATGTCTCTGGGTGTATTCAAACCTTGAAACTTTCAGTTAGGAGCCAAGTATGTTAACTATATACACCACCTAGGGACTCCTAAGGATTAAAGGAGATCATTTATATAAAGCTTTCACCACAGTACCTGACATGTAGTAATTAACAAATGGTAACTATAAACAATTTAATTATGTCTCTTTGCTTATATTGTTTCATTTATTCTTTATTACATCAACCAAATCAAACCAAAAAAAAAAAAAAAAACCCACACTCACTGCCACCAAGTCGATGCCAACTCATAGCAACCCCTTCTTGGGTTTCCGAAGTGTTATCTCTATGGAAGTAGATTGCCCAATCTTCCTTCTGAGGAGTGGCTGGTGGGTTTGAACTGCCAGCCTTCTGATTAGCAGTCAAATGCCTTAGGCAGTATACCACCAAAGCTTCTTTTACATGTATAAAGTTGGTATTACCTTCATTTAATGAGGCTCAAACCAAGGGTGACTAGCTAGGTCAACTAGTGATTGGTGGATTTGAACTCAAATAACACTACCTCAAAAACTCACAAGTTTCTCTTGACCACTGCTGGCCAGAAGTTATGGGTGTTTGGGGCAGAAGAATTTTACTAGAAATTCTGCTCATTAGCTTAGCAAATAGCCTGTTTCCCTGCAGATACCAAATCATGGTCGAGTAGTCTCTCCCTCCTTCCATTTGCAACTTCACTCTAAAAGAAAGCCTCTCCTCTAAATGCTAATTTCCCCTGTTTTCCAAAGTGATGCATATTTGCCCCACTTTTATATTTCTTTAGCCATTTCAATAGGATTTGGAGAGAGAAAAGTGTTAAAAGATTCACCTTGGCATCTCCAACCTGAAAAACAAAACCAGAAAACCAAACTCACTGCTGTGGAGTCAGTCCCGACTCATAGTGACCCCTCCTTGGGTTTCCAAGGCAGTATCACTACAGAAGTAGATTGCCCGACTTTCCTTCCGAGGAGTGGCTGGTGGGTTTAAACCACCAGCCTTCTGGTTAGCAGTCAAATGCCTTAGGCACTACAACACCAGAGCTCCTCCAACCTGAAGTCAATGAAAAATCTGATAAATGTGGATAATGCAAGCTAGATGTAGACTATACAGTTGTTGCAAGGCATTCAGGTGCTGGACCATATGGGGGTGATCTGTTAGTGAAGAATGTGCTCTGGAAGGGTTCCATCTCCCTACATGAGTCATGTATTACTCATTCTAAGGAAAATAAGATGTGTGGCCCTAGAAAATATGCATCAAAGCTTCCAAACATATACTTGACTGTTCACCCTTTGCTTTTCCAAGCAAATGCAAAATACAAAGATCTTGCAGTTAAGGTATTTCCATGAATCTGCCAGGAGCAAAAACTAAAACTATCTCGTATAAAATGAGCAGTAACCCCTTTTCATCCTCCATGAAGAAGAATTCTCTTAGATAATTAATGTGACATTCTGATCTAACAAGACAGACCACACATTGAACTATACCTCTGTGTCTTACCACTCCAAAACCTCCAAGCCTGGCCACCTCCACCCCAGCAGATTATACTCTTAATGGTCCATAACCTCTACTTCATCTGTTTTCATCTTTCTTTCTTTTTCTTTTGCTTTTTTTTTTTTTTTTTTT